TGCCCACACTGTTGCATGTTGTTGCGTGTTGCTGGGAGTTGTTAGGCAAAGTTTGAAAGCAGTCAAACTTAAAGCTAAGGCCTCACCTCCTCTTTAGCGCCACGAGGCGCGTCACAAGTCCCCGCTCCGGAGTTAAAGTGACAGGGATAATCTAAGGATTGGCGAGTATGATCATTTGGCAAACATTTTCTTGAGTGCCTTCATAACAGTTAGGATTTTTTGGGTATTCAAAAGAATCTGAAGATTGGTGTCGTACCTCGTGCGTACTGCTTGCGCGTAGTTCTAGATTGCCAGACGGGGAAAAGAAAAATTCATGTGATATGATGAATGGACAACCGAAATGATTCAAATTTCGTTTTCTTTGCGTGTTATAATTATCATTTACTCCTTTACGATAACTTTTTAAGGCTCAGTTATCCGTCGTGGGACTTTTGGTGATTACTTTTTGGTCCATGTGTTTTTGTTAAGTTTCGTTAAAAGCCCTGGGGATTTTTTTTAATTTTATTTTTTGCCCCCTTTCGATTATCCCTGTCGCTTTGACACTTCAGTACGCACTCTGAAATAACAGGCAGATAGGTAACAGTGAAACAAATGATTTAACTAAACACCAGATTGCATACACCCTGTAATTTTTTAGTAAGACCTCGCTGAAAGGAATTAAACTGGAAGTCAAAGTCTTGGGACCTCTCCAGTGATATTAGTAGACCTAGTGACCTCCCCTCTACTACCCCCAACAATGTTGAATTTTGAGGAAAATGGGTTGAAAGTAGTCCTTCTCTAGCCTGCGTGTCAAGCGTTTCCTTGTAGTTTCGGAGCAAAGAAAGACCGAGGAACAACGAGGAACGATATTTTCGGTGTTTTACTCGCCCCATTTTACGTTTCTGGGAAACTGCCCACCTACCTCTCCCCTAAACCAACATTTTGCCCTAAGTAAGAACTAAGTGTTAACGTTGGTTTATGGGAGGGGTAGATGGGCAGTTTCAGAGCAACGTAAAATGATCCGGAAAAGGTTCAACTCACAGTTACTTGGATGAGTTTTTCCTCACTGTGCCAAGTTCCTAGGTTTAGTAAGACTGATTAAATTCCACACGCATTTAAAGTAAAAAAGCAAGCAAAAAAGTTGAATACCTGTAAATTCCTGTAAAGCTGAAAATGATGACTACCAGAGGGATAAAGAAGCCAAACAGAGTCAGGTATATGATGTAAGCCTGATCAGACAGTTTTGACGAATACCAATCTGGGTGGCAGCTAATTCTCGAGGGAATGGGAATGAATCTGTTCCAGCCAAACGCTGGAGGTATTGTCAGCATGATCGCGTATATCCAAGTCCCTTTTAAAACCAAAAATTTAAAAAAGATTGTGTTACTATATTGTAATTGCGGTATGTACTTCTTGGTCGTTTTTCTGACTTAAGTTAAAAAGGATGAAAACACGATTGTGCTGAAAAAGGCCTGGCGGGAAAGTTTTTGAAAGGGTCAATAAATGCTCGAATGTCGCTTAGAAATACTTTTGATTACCAGCAAGCGAAGTCCAGGGTACTGCATGTCTCTTGGTGATACTTAAGGCTCGGTGAGACGCTGTTTTTCTCTTTCATTTTGGTGTGTCACAGCAAAATGATTTTATTTTTTATTTTTTTCGCTTATTTCTCACACTAGTGCGCTCGCTGTGATACTAGTTTTGCAAGGAAATTTCTTGTAGATGACAAAATAATGGCCTCATGACAGACAATACTTATGTACTCCAAGCTTTATTCTTAAAGTTGCAAATAAGAGAGATAAACTTCGAAAAACTGTAATGGGCCGGGCGGGGCAGTTTTCAATAATCCAAGTTGTAATCCGTTTTAATTGCCTTTAATTTTGCCCATTTTTTGGCATCTTTTGTGTTTGCTCTATTCTTTAACCCTTTCATAAATGGTTTAAGCCGTTACATTTAGTTTTCGCTAGTTCCTAGAAAGCAAGAAGTCTCTCCTTTGCTCAAAATTCTGTGAGCGAGCACGATATGTAGGAGTCTAATACGAGCGGCGGTGACGCCCACACAACTCGCTGTTCGCGGCTTCGCCGCTCGCACTGACTCAAATTTCGGCCTCGATCACAGATTTTCGAGCAAAAGAGACTGCTTGCAGTCTGGCTATAGGTCGTGGTGGTTGCGTTTGACTAAATTCCCTATCACAACTCCTCTTACCCACCTGAAATAAGTAAGGCCTCAAGTTTACGGCTCATTCTGTTCTGCTGTGAAAACTCGTTTCTCGCGATGCCCAGATAACTCAGGACTGCCATGGCAGTCAGGGAAGCGATTGAAGCCAGACCCGTGACACAGTTTATAATGGCCAACCAAAAGCAGAGCGCTGGTGCTTCGCCAGTGTTGGCAAAATCTGCCGTGTTGTAGCTGACAGCTACAGTGTAACCTAGTAGGCACACAAGAAGATCTGCAGATAATAAAAGGTACCTCAATAGGTTAATGGTAGCCTTACGTTCAACCTTTTAACATCACAGGGGCACCCAACGACTGTTTTCTTTAAAATATCTGTTCGGAGAAAACAAATATTACCTTGAATTTTCTATTACTCGAGAACGGCTAAAAATTTCTTGATGACCGTTCCATTCATGTACAAGTTTCATTTTTAACATTTCACTCCCCAGGTTAGGCTACTTTTCGTAGAAAAAAGGACACTAAAATTTTCTGATTCAAAAATGTGTTGAAGAGAGGAATCAGAAAAATTCTCTCTTTCGTAACATACGTTAAAATGCATCTAAAATTTTCCGGAAAAATAATACTGAAGCCCTTGAAATTTCGAAAAGACTCAAGTTCCCCTAGGATGACCAAACAACAGATACAAATTTTATAGCGCGCTTATGAAGCATTTCTAAAGATCTAAAAGTACTCTGGATAGCTTAAAAAGTGTTTTCAATGTATGTAGGAGGAAACTGTCGTTGGGTGCCCCTGACATTAGTGTTTTGTCACAGTTTCGCCCAATGTAAGGAATCCGAATTCAGGAATCCGGAATCCACGTTCCACTGAAAAAATCGGGAATACAGTACCTGGAATCTGGAATCCACGACGTGGAATCCAGAATCCACCGAAGAATTGTCGCAAAAATCCTGCCAAATTTCACTGTAGATTCGTTTTGGCTGGCTATAGTTAGAGTTCTTGTTAGAAAGCTACCGGGGCCTTAAGGGGCCGGCCTATACAGCATTCCCTCAGTCTGTTCTTTCATATCTAGCCGAATTTTTGAAAACATGTCTCAAAACGGACCAGAATATTCATCATGAGAATATTCGCACACTTCAGTTGAGTCTGTTTAAGCTGTGAGGCTTCGAAGAGCCAGCTAGTGCGGTTTTTATAAATCTGGCTAGATATATCTAGCACTCTATTTGATAATTGATATCTTGATTGAAATACCTGCGGCACACAAGTTCACCATCATACTTGTCATGCGTTTTTTCCGGTGGTGAGGATGAAACAAGATAATCAGTGTCAGTGAGTTGCCAAGGAGACCCAAGGTCAGTATGATAAACATAGACGATCCATAATATGCATAAAGCGGTCTCTCTCCATGAAGCTCATAAGAGGATATAGCCATGTTTTTTAACTGCTTTGGTTTCCTGGTGTCCCGTCAGTTTACTTACTCTGGCAAAAGAAGGAGAATACAACGGTCAGGAGAATTTGTCGTGATCAGTGTTCATCAAACTGAATCAGTTTGACCAAAGGGACTCAAAGGCTGTGGACCGTACTTGAATAGACATTTAGCGTGCAGAGTACATGAATGTTAATAAATTAAAACGGAATTACAATAGGCACACTTGAAAGGCTTGGATTATTTTTTTCGAACACGTATTTTCAAACGTTTGCAGATTTAATAACCTTAAACCAGACAAGCCTACCCGTTCTCTATGTAAAGAATTGTCAAAAAAAGATGCCCCATGACTTACGACGTCTGGCACTTACAAAGAATCGCATAACTTTTAACAGTGTGTGTTTTAATTTTTGCAAATTCACAAGCATCATAGAAAAGTAGAATAACGCAGAAACAAGCTAAATCATGTCAAGGACTACAGTTATTTCTAATTTGAAAAGACGGCATTTAGAGCATATTTAACTTATCCCCCTATAAACTGTGATTCAAATTAATTAAAATCGGCCCCTGCTTTTGTAAAGTATACGCTGCCTATTGTGCATTTGAGTTGTTTTATAGAACAAAACTGGAGATAAACACCTTTGGGAGAACTGATCCATTAAGAAAACGACTATTTTAAAGACTTATTTTAAGCAACAAAGAGGCCAATGGTGAATACTAACCTAGAACCAGATAGTGTAGAAGAATATTTGGATGAACTGTAAGTACTATAAAATGACATCTACCTACAAGACTTACCTTGAAAATTAAATTAATCAGTGAACTGCACTTAATTTTTAGGATTCCTTGAATCGAATACAGCAATTGACTGTCGAGGTTCAGTGTGGGCATCGTAGGTAAATGTGACGCCTTTTGTCAGAACTTGTCATTGTTTGTTATATTATTTATTACTTTAAAAAAGCGTTGTATCCTGCACAAGAAAACAAATACTGTAACCAGGAAAAAGAATTGTCTTTTGGGTGGTTCTCTATTCTCAAGAAATGCCTTAACTTTTCAGTGTATCTTATCGATATTTTGCCATGAAGTTAAACGACTGCCGGTGTTTCTAGGGAATTTTTCTAACCTAGTTTTCTTATTTATTACCATTTTGTCACTACTACCTGCCATCGTAAAGGCAGACAAATTACGGTAAAGAACTTTTCTCCATCTCCTTTTTCTAAAATCAGATCACAAACCGATTTGAAAGCTTTTAATCAAAATTTGCCACTCTTAAACATAGAGATGCTCAGCGGGATTGGTGCGGAATTAATGAAAGGGTCAATTTTCCTGTTCGAGTTTCAAAACAGACGAATTAAGAAATGTAAAAACCCCAAATTCGAAAATCATCCACGCTGCCGTTCATTTTATATTACACTTGGATCAATAATAAACCAATAATTTATTATTATTATTATTATTATTATTATTCAAAATTATCATTTTTGTTATTATTATTACTATTATTATAATGATAATAAGCTAAAATTTCAAACAGCCAATGGCTATTCAACATATCGTGCATTCGTGAACTTATTCCGGCGGCAGAGATCCAAGCCTTCCGCACAAGATTTCATCTAGGAAACAGACGGCAAACCACCTTGTATAAACGACATGAAGCTACTTAAACGGCGGTGTGAAAAGTCAAACTATCCATGTGATCCCAACAGATTCACAAAAGATTTTACTCATTAGTATGCGGCGGTTCCTTAAATGTGAAATTGAGGTTCGTTGCAAGATAAGTTGAAAATGCGCGAGTGGCCCAAGCTCAAGGTTTAGAGTAAAAGGGTGATGAGTTTTAACCCTTTAGCCCTAAGAGTGATCAGTGTCAAATTTCTCCTTGTATTATCACTGCTTTATAAAACACAGTGGTCATGAGAATTGAGGACAGGATCACACAAGATGAATTTAATTGATACTTCAACAAGTTCTCCCCACAACTTCTATTGAAAACATATAGGGACAACAAATGAGGATTTAAATTTTGATATTAGGGTTTAAAGGGTTAAAACATAGAATGAAAAAAGATATGACGATATTGTCGTTCAACGAACATAGATCGTAAAAACCAAACTGGCAAAAAAGGAAAGATAATAGAATTGTTCATGTTTTTCGCGTGCAAGAGGCAACAATTCTTATATTTGCCTGTGGGGTATTTGTATTCAACGGTAATTACCCCTCAGTAAATCACCCTGCTGAAAATTTTCAGAACATTTATTTGTAGTTTAGTCTTTCTCTAGCTTGTTTGCCTTCAAATGAGCTACAAAAACTGTGCAGAAACTTTATTCATTAATAGATTTACTAATTAAGTATCCTCCTCTGTGGCCAAAACATGCTCACGCTAAAATCATCAGCCTTATCAAGCGCTGAAGTATCTTGAGAGCTATTTTGATCAAAATAAGTGAAATTCGCATCATCTTTTACTTCATGCCCAGATCTAATTTTCGTAAATGCTTTCCATCGCAAAACTTTTCCCTGTTATGCAGACGTATAGCTCTCAGTAGAGTGATAGCGATCGAGGTAACTGCAAAATAAAAAAGCACTTAGACATGTCAGTCTCAGAATCTGTAATTTTCCCAGAATCTCTTCCTTTTCTTTGTCCAAAAGTGAACGCACTTTAATAGCCTTGAGGCAGGACCTCTTGTTCACAACGAAACAGACGGAATTTCAGCCCAGTTTATCTCGTTATTTGTCTCAATCAGATGAAAAAAATGACTCTAGTCGTCTCCAGTTGAGACAACAAAGGGATCGTAACAAAGAAATGAGATTTTTAAGGAAGGAAGAAAATAACTCATCCGGTATTATCTTTGTTTTGTTACAAATTATATTTTTTAGAAAATCTATTTAAGCGTGATTAGGATTGCAGCAGGTGAACACTGAATGTTTTCAAAGCTGCGTGCTTTGAATAAATTAATAAGAATGAAAACGGGTAATATTTAGGCTGCGGAGCGAGTGCTTTTTTTTGTAAAAAAGTCAGAAATACGCACGCTGAGAAACGGTTAGTTACAAAGGACAAGTTGTCTGAAATCCTTTTTGATTAGCGTAACAGCCATTAGTTTTTTCTCGATAATGTTGCAGTTGTTCAATGTGTTTTCTATCTTATTTCACAAATGAAAACAACCACCGTTATTAAAAATTGCCTTCTATTATAAGATTAAGGCAATCTTAAATCAAGTAGCTAAGGCACAGGGGCTTCCAACGACGTTTTCCCCAAAACACGTTGAAAACACTTTTTAGGCTATCCGGAGTGTTTTAGATCTCTAGAAATGCATTTTAAGCGGCCCTATAAAAGTTTTATCTGTTCGGTCATCCTAGAGGAACTTGAGGCTTTTCGAAATTACCAGGGTCTATCTCTGTATTACTTTTCTGAAAATTTTATGTGCAATTTAAAGTTTTACGAAAGTGAGAATTTTAGTTTCTGATTCCACTCTTCATCACATTTTAGACGATCCGAAAATTTTAGGTTTCCTTTTCCTAAAAAAACCTATGGTTAGTAAAATACGAAAAATTAAGCTTAAGAAAATCGTAGGGAATTTATTAGATAAGCTTCGAAAATTGTAGATGGATTGAACGTTCACCGAGAAATTTTTAGCGGCGTCCTCAAGCAAAAGAAAATTCTAGCCAGTATTTCCTTCTCTGAACAGATATTTTACAGAAAACAGTCGTGGGATGCCCCTAAAGGCAGCATGAAAGAAATCTTTTTCAACTCACCGAATTACCAACCAGTCGAGATTAGCAGCCTTACGTTTTCTGAGGAAGACAAGGATTATATCGTAAAGCATTGCTTCAGCTCATGAAAAGGCAAAACTACTTATATATATTCCAGCTACTATAAGTCAACTAGGAAATTAGGAGACATTGCATTGAGAAAACCAAACCAAACCATACTGCCGGCTCCAAATATCAGCTGGGGCACCCAACGACTGCATGTTTCGTTGTAAAATATCTGTTCGGAGAAGCAAAATAATATTGCCTAGTCGAATTTTCTATTACTTGAGGACGGCTAAAAATTTCTAGATGACCGTTCCATTCATGTACAATTTTCGAAGCTTATCAAATAATTTCCCTACGATTTGTTAAAGTTCATTTTTATCACCCCATCACCATTTCACTCCTCAGGTTAGCCAATTTTTCGTAGGAAAAAGGAACCTAAAATTTTCGGAACCAAACTTCAGTCCTAATACGTTAAATTGCATCTAAAATTTTTCTGGAAAATGTAATCATAAAGCCCTTGAATTGTATTTCGAAAAGACTCGAGTTCTCCTAGGATGACCGAACAGATACAAATTTTGTAGCGCCGCTTACCCGGAATTTTTAGCAGGGAAAGCCGGAATGCATTTCTAGAGGCTTAAAAGTACTCTGGATAGCCTAAAAAGTGTTTTTAATGCATTTCGGACGAGGAAACGAAGTTGGGTGCCCCTGAAATGTATTGATCAATTTTTACATTAAATAGGTTGATGCTATACGAAATGGTTGGTAATCGGGTGGGTTCAAAATTAAGGCATTACCGTAAGTATTTTTGCTTTTCGACTGTAATGAAACGGTTAAGGCTTCGATTAACAAACCGAATCCGAAATTTTGCTGTTAAAGTTATCATTTAGCGCGGCAATGTTTAAAGAATTAAGACGCGTTAACCGTTTTGCCCTCTTTCCTGCGCTGGCCCCATGCATGGTACTTTAATGAATAACTCCCCTTTGAAGGCTTTTTAATTTGATTCGGTTAATGGAATCATGGTGCGATGTTAATTTACTTGTGTATATTGTTTATACTGTATCTAGGAAGAAGAGAAAAACGTTGTCGGATCGGATCAGAAAAAGAATGCAGAGCAGGAAGTGCAGAGTAGGTTGTGAATTTGCAGTTAGTACTGGTGAACCACTGGTCGTGTATTCAAGGGCATTTTTTTAAGCAAAGCAAGTGTGCATTGACTTTTTACAGTCTTGCGAAATCTTCAGGCAAAAATGCTTCAGTAGTATAAAAACGAGCACAAGATATATTTAACAATTATTCCACGAGTTGGC